CTTCCTTCCGGAGTCATTCAACTTGCAGTTGCAAGACCACACCTCCCTTCGTAGCTGCAGGCTCAGCCCGTCACTGTGTGATCAGATGCAACTGCGGGCAAGTTGGGGTTTTTTTGGCCGTTTGTTTCCCATGCGCATAAACGAGGAATCGCACCTCTGCACTGAGGGACCCCCCTATGGGGTATGTGATGATGCGCATACTGCAAAGAGGGGGGAGAAATGGCACCAAGCCAGGATGGCCTGATCAGACGATCCCGATGGCATGCCTGCATACTTTTGCCCAATCAGACAGGGGAAAGTCTGTCCGTGGCCTGTCACAACCCGTTCACTACTAGATTTTCTCTGATGTCTTCTTACTCCATTTCTGCAGCAAAGCAGCATGGGTTGCTGCTGACGACTGTGGGATGCTTCCCAGGTGTCGCTGTCTGATCGTGCCCTTTAGACCCCCCGGGCGTTCGCACCTATGTTGGATCTACTGGGACGTGTGATCGCAGCCATAGTTTCCCCTGGTTCTTTCTCTTTCAGACTCCGCCTCTCCCTCACTTTTCTAAACTGTTCCTTGTTCCAGCCCTCTTCTGCTATCCCCCCATTCCTCTGTCTGTAGCCTACTGTTTTCTTAGGCACTTCTGCTTGCTCTGCTCCTCTCTAGGGCCACAATCCCAAACAGGGTGCCCACGGCCCTGTAGCAACCACCAATCACTTCCTGTTGCCTATTTGCTTCTTCCCTCACACATCTCTTCCCCAAAGGAAACACTAAATCTTGGCTCTCCTCGCGCTCCCATTCAGAAACTGGTGCCTCCCAAAGTGTTACGACTGGTCTCAGCAACCTATGGCAGCCATTTTGTGAGTGGGCCAGAAACCCCCCCCCCCCAAGCAACCATTCCGTTGTGGTGTCCACTCCCCATTCTCTACATTCCAAAAATTCCCACCCGCTCACCTAGATGGGAACTGCTGTTGAGCAGGCTTGCCAGTCTCCCACTGGCAAGTACCATGGTCTGCTGCCGCAGAAGAAAAACGAAAAGACAAATGAACAGTGCAGTCATCGACATCGCTACATCACTTCCGGGTAAAAATGGGGTTTACCGTGAAGTTTCCAGTGATTCCTAGAGCTACCCTTTGTCACTTCCAGGTTTTGCCTGAAAGTGACACAAGAAGAAAAAGAGTTGGTCTTCTCTACCCTAAGGAGTCTCAAAGAGGCTTACAATTGCTTTCCCTTCCTCTCCCCACAACAGCCACCTTGTGAGGCAGGTGGGGCCGAGAGTTCTGAGAGAACTGTGGCTGGCCCAAGGTCACCCAGCAGGTATCCTGTGGAGGAGTGGGGAATCAAACCCGGTTTTCCAGAGCAGAGTCCACCACTACACCACACTGGCTCTCTGCACCACACTGACATAGAGAGATCAGCAACTTCACAACCCCACCCGTGTTCCTGCCCCCAGCCAGTTGTTGTGCTCAGCCTGACAACCCTACTGTTGAGCAGCTTCAGCCAAGGCAGCCAGAGACTTTCTGACTGACCCAACTCTTTATGATTTAAGAGCAGCTCAGCCAATCACTGGGCAAGGCTCTGCTGCCGCCAGAAATCCCTTAATGGCTACAATATACATCACCCAACTGGAAAAATGGGGTTGCTCATCCCTGTATGAGCACATGACACAGATGGACCTTGTCGAAAGATGTAGTGAGCCACTAGTGTGCGTTACCTGGCAAGCTCGTCTTCATCACATCAATGCCAACTTGACGGTCAGGCTCAGCTGCAAGGACTGCGTAACTCCCTTGATGAGAGACATTGAAGTTGAAGGGGGAACGGTTACTGCTTATGTCATTTGCAAGGACAGGTTTGCCTTTTGAAGTCCTTTCTAACCGTATTTCATTCCAAGGAATGTTCAATTTTTCGGCAATTAATTTCCTTATCAGCAGACGACCAGCCTGTGAAAAACAGATATATAAAAGATGCACACTAGGTAAGCCTTTCTTTATAAATAAAAAAAGCAATTTACTAAAACATCATTTTCTTAAAAAAAAAAAAAATCAGTTGACAGCCTACTACAGAGCAAAAGCTACTCTTTCTTTTACTACAACTACCATCCTGCACCACCTGGGATAAATGTTGCATTCAGTTCAGGTGGCACAATAGCAAAGCTTAACACACTCAGGTAGTGCCATCCTACACAGATTTATATTCTTCTAAATCTGTTGAGGGCTCCGACGGCTCAGAAGTTAAGACGCTGAGCTGCAGACCAGAAGGTCAGGAGCTCAGCATTTCGAGACCCGAGTGCCACATGACGGAGTGAGCTCCTGCCAACCTAGCAGTTCGAAAGCAAAAAACTACAAGTAGATAAATAGGCACTGCTTCGGTGGGAAGGCAACAGCGTTCCGTGCGCCTCGGCATCTAGTCATGCCAGCCACGACCACAGAAAACGCCTTCAGACAGCACTGGATCTTCGGCTTGGAAACGGGGATGAGCACTGCCCCCTAGAGTCAGAATCTACTAGCTTTCAAGCAAGGGAAACCTTTACCTTTACTAAACCTTTACTAAATCTGTTGAAGTCAGTGGGCTTAGAAGGTCATAGCTCTGCTTAGAACTGTACTGTTAGCATATGGTCCTAGAACGTGTTTCAGGATCCTCTGCGAAAAAACAGGTTTTCCCCCTCTGGGATAAAGTCAAAATAGAAATGGTTCTTGGACAGGGATGCCAGCCTTCAAATGGTGGCTGGAAATGTCCCACTATTACAACTGATCTCCAGGCAACAGAGATCCCTTCACCTGGAGAAAATGGCCATTCTGGATCTGTGGCATTATCCCCCACTGAAGCCCCTCCCCTCCCCCAAACCCCACCCTCCTCAGGCTCCACCCCCAAAATCTCCAGGTATTTCCTGACCTGGAGCTGGCAACCCCCAGCAAGCAGAACTTCCCCGTATGACACTGAAAATGCTCAGACACTCAATGATCTAATGCTTACAGTAGGATCTGGGAGGCCAAGGCACAAATCCCCCAGTCTAGCACAAAACTCACTGGGGGAACTCAAGGCAGTCACAGGCAGTGTTCCCTCTAAGCTGAGTTAGTGTGAGCTAGCTCATAGTTGTTTAGCCTCCGGCTTACCCATTTTTGTCTTCGCTCAGGAAGGATGGCTCCAGAGCAAACTAATTTATGCAGGCTCCAGAGCAAACTAATTTATGCAGGAGCCAAATTGCTCGCTCACAACTTTAATGCCACTAGCTCACAAAGTAGACTTTTTGCTCACAAGACTCCATAGCTTAGAGAGAGCAGTGGCCACAGATCCTCAGTCTAACCTACCCGACAGGGTTGCTGCAAGCATAAAACGGAGAAAAGAGAACCACGTACACTAATCTGAGCCTCTTGCAGAAAGGGAGGGATAAAAAACATTCTGGGAAGATCAAACGGGCTTGCAAACGCCATGGCCACTCAAACGCAACGTTAGCGCTCCTGCACAATGTCTGTCTGACCTACAGATCTCAGGTGCCAACCCTGTAAGTGCAGCAGCAGCAGAACTGTGCAGCACACACAACACCAGTGTGCCATAATGCGGCGCAGCATCACATTGACATCTGGGGTAGGCAGAATCCTCGTGGAACAGCTGTGCCAGGTGGAGGAAGAAAAAGGAACCCTAAAAGAAAAAGGAGCACGCCTGTGGGGAGGGACATCATAGCTGGCCAGCTGATTCCTCTGGTCTGTCTGGCCTAGTGGTCAGTGCAGAAATGAGACATAGTCCTTCTGTAGCTTCTACATCTCTGGTACACTGAAAGCCACTGTTTTGGACACCTGTTGCAGTAGCTCCCATTATCTGGGAGCACCTCAATGTTCAAAGAGTGAAAGAAGTTGAAAAATAAATATACCATGGCAGCCTTGGCATCACGGGCAAAGACAAACTGACCAATGCGCTCCTTCTCTTCGGGCTGAACGAGGCGCATGGCCAGCAGCCAGTCCTCACGGCAGGGGACCCAGGAGGCATAGGAAAACGCCCAGCGCACGCTCTCCATAGCAAGGCGCTCCAAGGAAGCCACAGGACGCCAGAGCATAAATGAAAGTTGGCAGCGGGAAGGATGCAAACTAATTTAGCCTGTTAGATGAGAACTGAGGAAAACAGCCACTGGACTGGAAAGACCTGGGTTCAAATCTCTGCTCTCCTCGGAAGCACCATGGCTGGCCGCAGCGGCCCTCCTCTTTCAATCTAAATTACCTTACAGGGTTGTGATAAAACAGATTAACCTCATCAACATTTTACTGAGGATACAAAAAGTGAGGTATAAACAAACGATTCCCTGACGTCTTCAACTAGCAGCCAATCCAGTTAACATTTCTCTTTGTATTAGGTTTGGGGCTGCCACTCTTCCTGGGGTATCTCTCAAAGGAAAAGGGCAGAACGTCGGTGTTAACAGAGCACTACCCAGGCTGGTCTTCTCTAGGCATGCACTAACTCTGGGCACACACTAACTCAAAAGCAAGCCCCATTTAAATCAGTGGCACTTCCTTCGTGCACCGGGCTGTTAAACTGCGACGCAGCAATTCCAGCGCCCAGCCCCTCGCCCTGCAAAAAGAGACAGCCCAAGCCCACCACCCGCTACCATTTGCAAAGCGACCCTTGAAGAGACGGTTCGAAAGAGGCAACACAACGCAATGCAGAGCAAACGTCAGCTTTACGCAGAAGGGACTCGTCACCGGCCGCCCAAAATCTTCACTTCCGGTCTCCAATTGACGAAAAGGGGGGCGGGGACGAAAAGGAACGGCTCTATCAGTTTTGCACCCTCTCCTATGTCGTTGCAGGGCTTGCCCCGCACTCTCACTCGGAAGCCGGAAGTATTGCTTTTGTTTTTCTTAAGTCCGTAACCCTTTGGAGGGCCGGCCTGAAGCTTGTCGGCATCTAAACCGTTACGAAGACCGGAGAGGAGGGTTCTAAAACTGTAGTGACACCAACCTCTGCCAACCCAACAGTAGAGTTCCTTCGATAGGCACAGAAGGGAGCCAATGACTATCAACGGGAGCTTTTCTGTGGTGGGTATTGCGGTTGTTCTCTGAGAGATGGTAGAAGATATTGGTGAGTGGCTTTTGGTGCGCAATAAGGAGAAATAGCCTAATTGTTTCATAGCGAGTTGCTTGCTACGTTTGGGTGTTAAATTCGCCGGGTAACTGTCAGCTTCAGAGCTATATTCTTCATTAAGGCGGGGTTGCGTCAGGGCGGACCCATAGAACGGATCTTAGCCTCTTTCTCGGCACTGAGCATGCGCTTACTTGTGAGCATGCGCTGAACAACTGTCGACGTTCCAATCGTGGGCGTTCCTTTACATTGTATTAGATAACTTATTAACGGGTAATGGTTAAAATCGCGTGCGTGTGAGCGAGAGCGTAAGATATAGAAGGTGCATTAAAACGCAAGGCTAGATTTGTCTAGGACTCCCCAGTCTTTCTTATTCTTCCCCCCAATAAATTACTGTTGTCTCCTGTTGGTCCCTCTGAATTCCATGAAGCGTATTCCCAGACAAATATATATGTGGGTGCATTTTAATTTGACTGATTTCCCCCCCCCCCAAAAAAAAACCCTGGCTCACTAACTTAGTGGGGATTACTCTAGAGAAAGTGGGTTCTCATTTGGAATGAGTTCTATGTAATGAACTAATTGGGTTTTTAGTACTGTAGTGACTAGATTAGCTATATTGGTACTCATTGGATCTCTTTGGGATTCCCCCCCTCCATAATATTTATGTCATCCTTTTTTATTGCCCCTACCTGCAATCATTTGCCAAGCCCCCTTCTCCAAACAGCTTGCAGAACCCCAGGAGGGGTGAGTTAACGTCCAGGGGAGCAGGTATCCATATTTACAGACCCATGAAAGCTCCAACCCCCTATTCTGCTTGTATCCACTGTATCACCCTTCTCCCGACATCCTGGAAAGTTTCTGGAAAGTGCTGCAAAGTTACAGATGGTCAACTGAACCCATGACTGCGAAGAGGAGAGGATTAAGGGTAGACTTTGGGGCCCACTGAGTTGGGTGAGTCTTGATGCACACTGCTTTCTGTTAGTCTTTATCTCTCTGTTGGAAAAGGGTAAAAGTTTAGATCCGACTTTTACCCAGACCCCTCTCTGTTAGTCTTGAGGTAGTACAAGGCTTTTTCTGTTTTTTGCTGCTACAGGCAAATAAATATATTTCATTGGAGAGGTAGAATGTTCACTGTGATGGTACCCATCTAACATCCTAGCTGGCATATTTGGAACCAGCTGAAGTTTCTGAACACTTTTCGAAGGTTCTTTTAATACAGTGCACTACAGTAAACGAGTCTGGATGTTGTTAGAGCATGGATTCCTACAGTTAGACCATACACCTTTCTAGGTGTGGCCTAAGCTGATGAACCACAACTGAAGTTAGGAAAACTGTGTTTAAAACTCTAATCTTGGATCTATGAGTTCTTGAAAAAGAGCAGTTTCTGTCAAGAGCTCTCTCAGCCCCACCTACCTCACAGGCAATGTTCCCTCTAAGCTGTGGAGTCTTGTGAGCAAGAATTGTACCTTGTGAGCTACTGGCATTAAAGTTGTGAGCCAGCGATTTGGCTGCTGCATACATTAATTTGCTCTGGAGCCCTCCTTCCTGAGCGGAGACAAAAATGTGTGAGCCGAAGGGTAAAAAATTGTGAGCTAGCTCACACTAACTCAGCTTAGAGGGAACACTGCTCACAGGGTGTCTGTTGTGGGGAGGGGAAGGGAAAGGAGTTTGTAAGCCACTCTGAGACACCTTTTGGTAGTGAAGGGTGGGGTATAAATCCAATCTCTTCTCTTCTTCTTCTCTTCTACATTCAAACTGTAAACCCAACCTTTAAGAAGGTGCACACCCAGTTCAGTCCCTTTTCTATGGTCAGACTCCTCAGCCAATGTTCCCTCGAAGCTTTGGAGTCTTGTGAGCAAAAATTCTACTTTGTGAGCGACTGGTGTAAAAGTTGTGAGCGAGCGATTTGACTACTGCATGCATTAGCTTGCTCTAGAGCCCTCCTTCCTGAGCTAAGACAAAAATGTGTGAGCCAGAAGCTAAAAAGCTGTGAGCTAGCTCACACTAACTCAGCTTAGAGGGAACAAAGCTCCTCACCCACAAGTAAAGCCCCCATTTCATTTGGATTTGGATTCAATTTATTAGCCTCCATCTGTCCCAGTACAGACACAAAACACCTCTTCACAAGGTCTGTTGCCTCAAAAGCAGATACAGAACTGAGTGCAATCAGCAATTTAAAACCAATACATATATAATTCACTTTCTGTACAACAGCAGCAAGAACCATTACAAAAATGTTCTACTCATCCATTGGCTTGTTACCAAAATGGTTTTTTTTTGCAAAAATGAGATTAAGAAGAAGAAGAGAAAAAGAGAAGGGATTGGATTTATACCCCGCCCTTCACTACCCAAGGGAGTCTCAAAGCGGTTTACAAACGCCTTTCCCTTCCCCTCCCCACAACAGACACCCTGGGAGGTAAGTGGGGCTGAGAGAGCTCTGACAGAAACTGTTCTTTTTCAAGGACAGCTCTTATCAGACCTATGGTTTGCCCAAGGTCATCCAGCAGCTGCTGGTGGAGGAGTGGGGAATCAAACCCGGTTCTCCCAGATTAGAGTCCGCGCACTTAACCACTACACCAAACAGGCTCTCAGGGATAGCTGGATCTCAGAAACTAAGCAGGGTCAACCCTGGTTAGTATTTGGATGGGAGAAAACCAGGGATTACCACGGTTGCTATGAAGAAGCAGGTAACGGCAAACCACCTCTGAACGTCTCTCGTGTTGAAAACCGTATGGGGTTGCCATAAGTCAGCTGCAACTTCAAGGCAAAATGTGTGTATGTAAACCATATCATTTTGCTTTTATTCATAAAATTGTTTGGAGATGAAGCTTGCTCTGAAGAAAGATAGAAATCAAATGGTCAGCTAAGGTCAAAATTGATAGCAGCAGCAGCACAAGAAAGAACCAGATCCAGAGTGTAGGGGGATGGCACGATCTCCATATGTGAAAGCGAAGCAGCAGGAGACGAGTTTGCTCAGAGTTAAGTTGGCATTAAACTAATAAAATTCATGGCATTAAACTATTTAAGAAGGGTCTCCACAGTTCTTGGAAAGCTTCAGCTGCCAGTCCTTCCCCCAGCCCTCAGTTAACCATTCACTGCTGAATGGTTGCTTCCATGAGCAATTCTCCCCAATACTTCCTTTTCATGGTTTTCTTTTTGCCTCATTGGATTACTCTAACCAGTGTGAGTTTGTGCAATTAGGCAACGTCTCTTGCAGAGCTGAGACTCCATCTCTGCAATGACAGTGGGATTTCGGTAATTCCTGCTGGTTCCCCCGCTGTTTCTCAAAGTAATTCCGAAACATTAAAAAACCCTTTCAAGTCCACATGTGTCCCTTCTGTTTAATAAAAATAACATTCACATGTATAATTGATAAATGCCAGCTTTTGTGCATCCCTATCTCTCAGTGTCAACAGTAATGTTGCAACTGGAAAGTGGTAACTGAATATTAATTATCCCTGTTATAAGGAGAGTTTTCACCTTGATTTTTTCCCCCTTTTACAAAGCACAGTCCCTGACTGCATAAGCTGTGGGCCATCACAGTGCAGAAGGTATAGTGCATGTGTGCATTGCCCGGAACTCCATGCCCCCTTGGGAAGTCCTGAAGGTGACTTGCCATGCCAGGAGCTGGCACATTCCTGCATGCCCTGCGCAGCAGACTTAGCACTGCACTTCTGTATACTGAATGCAGGATTCTTGCCCAAAGGGAGAAGATCAATGTGGCCGTGGGTAGTTCTGTGATTAATATAGGATACATCGTGATAATGGTGAAAAAGTGTTATAGTGAAGAATAAGAAGCACACAGTAACATGCATTTAATGCAGGAGCATGCAACTAATTACCATGTGGGCTATCTAATTACCTTATGCTCTGCATTTCTGCTTAACTGTGGAAAATATGTTCATTACAATTTTTAACTTGGTGTTTTCTCCATCTCTTTATTTTTTATTAATCAGCATTTTTTGCAGCATAGCACACTCCTTTCTGCCATCCACTTTTGCCTCCATACCCATCTCTCTGTTCCCCTCTCTTATTCTTCCCTCCATCTTCCCCCCTTTTGTCTCCCCCATTTCTACCCCTTTCCTCTGATTTCAGCAGCAGTAGCACACAAAGCTTTTTGATCTCCCAGACATTCATATAATGAGAAAAGTCTCAGACTCAGCATGACTAACTGTAAACAGGCTATAAATATTGGCACAATTCCCCATTTTCCTCTGAAGCCAGTAGGAAGAGGAATGGCCATAGAAATGTTTAGAGAGCTCTCCTGCATTACAGTCTGTGGAAAAGTAATGCAATACTATTTCTATTGTATTTTTTAAAAATGTAATTCACTTTGACCTTCAGTGAGAAGGGTGGACTACAAATGGAGGAAATAAGTAAATAACCAAAGTATAGGCATTCTCCCATCCCTACCTGCACTTTATTTTATTTTGTATTTTTCTTATGTGTGTGTGAGTGCACCTGGAAGGCATGGCGACCTCTGGTGACTGACCCCTATTGGGGGCCTGAAGGATATTCAGAGAGGTGACTGAATAAAGCCTGCCCCTGTCCTTCCCACTCCTCTACCTGCAGCTGCTGGAGGACCTTGGGCAAGCCATAGTTCTGTCAGAGCTGTTCTCTCAAGGACAGTTCTGAAAAGAGCTCTCTCAGCCCCACCCACCTCACAGGGTGTCTGTTGTGGGGAGGGGAAAGGAAAAGAGTTTGTAAGCCGCTCTGAGACTCCGAGTGAAGGGCGGGCACTGTTAACCCTGCTTAGCTTTTATGATCTGATGAGATTGGGCTTGCCTGGGCTATCCAGGTCAGGGCCCCACCTCCACTTTAGATGGGCTTGGGCTGACCTTAGATATTTTCACAAAGAAATGGGAAAGGGTCACAAAGAATGGGTGCTTGGAATTTCCCCAGGAGTCCTCCAATAAGCAAGGTGGGAGCTGCTGTCGGCTCAATGGCCTCCTGTATTCCAGCCTCTTTTACAGTACAATCCTATGCAGAGTTACTCCATTCATTTAAATCAATGGGTGTAGACTGTGCATACAATCACACTGTTAGTGGAATATGTAGCTGCTGGCTGTTCACAAAGTAATATGTTAATTACTTTAGTCAATAAACCAGTCTGCCAGCAGACACCCTAATCTCTGACAAGTTCCTGGTAAAACTACATAGTAAAATAAAACATGCTAAAATAACAATAGTTATTAAACTATTTGGGAGATAAAGGACAACTGGAAGGTGAGTTTGCAGACCCTTCAAGCCTTACAAGGCCATGCTAGTTACTATGAAACACATTCATCCCAAACCAGCATAGAGAGTAAAGCATGGCACGAGTGATATCCCACCCTGCACTGCCCCTAGGGTTGCCAGCTCTGGGATGGGAAGTACCTGGAGATGTTGGGGGTGGAGTTTTGGGGAGGGGAGGGTGTCTGTTGTGGGGAGAGGTAGGAGATTGTAAACTACTCTGAGACACCGAATGAAGGGCGAGGTACAACTGCAACTCCTCCTCCTCCTATCATCTTGGGCCACTAGTTGTACAAAATACCTCTTAGTCACAGTTGTTATCTGCACGTCAAAGTCATGAAATGGATTTTTTCCCAATTGCAATAAATTATTTTAAGAACATCATCTCCACGGGTGTCAGTAACTTTTTTTTAATTTCACCTCCCGCAGCGATAAGAACAGAGTGAAGTGGCCATGGCCAACCGATATGATTCTGTTAGTGCTTGCAATGGGATCCCGACACCTGAAAAGAAAATCAACTCCTTGGTAGCTGAAGGCCATGGACAGGAAATCTTAAAGGTCCTGCAAAGCTTCAGAGATCAAAACATCTTTTTCGACTTCAAAATACTTGTGAAAGATGAAATAATCCCATGTCATCGTTGTGTACTAGCGGCAAGCAGTGACTTTTTCAGGTAAATCAGTTTCTAAAATGGCACTCGTGCCTGTGGATATTTTTAGAGTATTACCTGGGGGAAATGTAGCTAGGTCCATACACATTTGGGCATAACATTTTGGAATGATTTTTGTTTTACTTTTGACTTCTAAAAGTAGAATAATGATATTTGTATAGATAAAACCTTAGTAAAATCCAGTCAGCGGCAATGTTCCCTCTAAGCTCTGGAATATTGTGAGCAAAAATTCTACTTTCTGAGCTACTGGCACTGAAGTTGTGAGCAAATGATTTGACTACTGCATAAATCAGTTTGCCCTGGAGCCATCCTTCCTGAGCTAAGACAAAAATGTGTGAGCCAGAGGCAAAAAAACTGTGAGCTAGCTCACACTAACTCAGCTTAGAGGGAACACTGGTCAGCGGTGAAAACCTTGTTATCATTACCTCCTTAGTAGGCGATACTCAGTATCATGACCCCAAACTGGTAACCAGTCACCATTAAATGTATGTAAAAAGAAATCCAGATGGGGATTCACATTACCATCTTCATTAAAAGCTACATCTTCTGTGCTAGTTCAGTATGGCTTGGTTGATGGGCTTTCAGTAACAGAGAGTAACAGGAAATACACTGTTCTCTTTTACTAGCTTTTAAAAAAATAATTTAGACCCTGCTTTTCTTCTGCTGTGAAACTCAGAGCAACATATATAGGATTCCACAAGGTGTCCTGTCTGGGCATGGACTAGACCCATACCTGCTTACCTTCAGAAAGGTTACTGTTTCATGTGTCTTTCAAATCATGCCCTGAAGAAGTTCAACAGCAACCTATACCTGAAAATGCATCCTTTTAGCATCTCAGTGAATAGCCCGCTAATATTCTACAACCTTATGGCCAGAACAAAAGAACTGTGAAGCTAGTTCCATGAGTCCAAATAAATTTATGCTAGTTTTTTTTTCAGAGGAAGATCCAATGGGCCTTTTTAAAGCTGTCCTTGTGGGCTTTTTTTTTCTTTTTTTTTTTACAAGGAGAGGCTATAGCCCTGTGGCAGAGCATCTACTTTGCACACGGAAGATCCCAGGTTCAATCCCCATTATCTCCAGTTAAAATGAGCAGATTGGAGGGTGATGTGAGAGACCATAACCTGAGGCCCTGGAAAGCTGCTGCCAATCAGTGTAGACAATACTGACCTTGACTGACTCGTGTGTTCATTAAACCACCATCCTGTGCTGTATGGCAAACTGTCCTTGAACCCAAAGGGACTTTTAAATGTAGGGTGGGATAGAAAGGCTGTCCAAAGGGGGAAAAATAATATTCCACTGAACATATATAAATCCTTGAGGGAACTTTGGATTCTGACCTGTGACTTGTTTTTTGTAGATAATGACATAATCCCATATTAAATTTCAAAGCCTCATTTTATTCTATGGAACTGATTAAAACTGGTCTAAACTTGTTAGCGATGAAACATTAACTGTTCTTTTAATACAGGGTTTGTACTGAAGTAGTTTAGTACTCATTTACTGACCTAGTAATTCACCTTGAGTTGTCCTCTACCTTACGAAGCAACAAACGTGATCCAGTCTAATTTTTTTTATTGTCATAGTTCCCTCTGTGCCGAGACAGCCCAGATATTGGAGATTATTTATTGTGTGTTGATCTTCTCTGTTTTTTAACTGCAGGGCCATGTTTGAAGTTAACATGAAAGAAAGAGACAACGGGAGTGTTACTATTAGTAATTTATCACCCACAGCAGTGACGGCTTTTCTAGATTATGCCTATACTGGAAGGACGGAGATAACAAATGACAATGTAGAAATGTTCTTTCAACTCTCATCCTTCCTCCAAGTTTCTCTTCTTTCCAAAGCTTGTAGTGACTTTCTAATTAAGAGCATTGATCTTGTCAACTGCTTGCAGCTGTTGTCCATATCTGAAAGTTATGGTTCCATTCAGTTGTTCAACCATGCACTAGGGTTTGCACAACGCCATTTTTCCTTGCTGTTCCAAACAAACGATTTCTTGGAAATGAATTTTGAGATATTGCAAAAATGTCTAGAAGCTGATGAGCTGAATGTCCCAGATGAGGAACACGTGTTGAAAGCTGTCCTTCAGTGGATGAAGCATAACTTAGAAATGAGACAGAGGCACCTTCCCTTCTTGATGAAAGCAGTAAAATTACATCAGTTGTCCGAGGAGGTGTTGCAGGACTTCTTGCACTCTGAAGAACAGCTGCTTGAAAGCACTGGCTGCCTAGCAGTTGTCAAGGAGGCAATCAAATGTGTGCAGACCTTCAGTGGGTTGTTTCCAGACGCTCGGCCATCAACAACAGAGAAGTACATACTGGTTCACAAAACTGAGGAAAATGGTGTATTTCGACATACGTTTTGCTATAATATTCAAACTGATAAATGGAAAGAATTGATGCATGCACACATAATTGATCTCCCAGGATCAAGTTTATCTAGTTATGGTGAAAAAATATTTATAACTGGGGGATGCAAAGGGAAATGCTGCCGGACGATAAGACTTCATATTGGTGAAACGTTTCATGATGCCACCAACCAAACTTGGTATTACTGTCCAGCAAGTGACAGCATCTCATTAGTATCTCCTATGAAAAAGCCAAGAACAATGCACACATCTGTCGTGACCCTAAATCAGTTGTTTGTGATAGGGGGAAAGACGAGGGCATCTCAGGGAATGAAAAGCCTTTTGGATGTGGAAGCATACAATCCTCTCTCTAGAGAATGGAAATCTGTGAGTCCTTTACCAAGAGGCATCTATTACCCAGAAGCAAGTGCCTGTCAGAGTATAATTTATGTACTTGGCTCTGAAGTAGAAATTACTGATGCTTTTAATCCATCTCTTGATTGTTTCTTTAAGTATAATGCTGAAACTGATCAGTGGTCTGAGCTGGTAGCAGAATTCGGGCAATTCTTTCATGCAACGTTAATCAAGGCGGTTCCAGTGAACTGCACGTTGTACATCTGTGACCTTTCTACCTACAAAGTTTATAGCTTTTGTCCAGATACTTGTGTCTGGAAAGGGGAAGGCTCTTTCGAATGTGCTGGTTTTAATGCAGGAGCAGTTGGAATAGAAGATAAAATTTACATCCTTGGTGGCGATTATGCTCCCGATGAAATCACCGACGAAGTACAGGTCTACCACAGCAGTAGGTCTGAGTGGGAGGAAGTTTCACCCATGCCAAGAGCTTTAACTGAATTTTATTGCCAGGTGATTTGGTTTAATAAATATAGGGACCCATGGTCATTTTCAGTAGAATAATGATGCAGTTTATTAATTATATTCAACTTCACAACACTTGAATACTATTATTTCTTTTTAATTTGAAGGGCACTGTAAATCGGGGCCACAGTCTCCCAAGCATTGGTTTCCTCCAGTCTACATTCAGTTCAGTGGTGGAGCAAAGCTTGTAGATTGCATCCATAATCAGAATATATTCAAATATCTCCCTTAGGACCAAATCATGTTAGTTGCCAGTTTCATTAAAGACCCACAGGTTGGATTCAAAGGTCCTGTTCCACTAATGGTAGAGCCCTTGTCCAGCACATGAAGTCTTCTGCTGGTAAAACATGCTTCTTCTGCTAAACCATAGCTCTCTGTGCCTGATAGAAGGCTCCTTGCATTATAGGATGGCTCCACTGTTAGCAGAATGGAACTTCTGCTCCAACACCATGGTAAGGGATCAAAAAACTATGTCAAGACCTGCCTTCTCTGAAGGGCTGTTGAGTTGGATTAACAATATGGCACAAAGGGGGAGGGGCCTTTAATTATTGGAAGTTCTTTGATTTTTTTGACAAGTCATTTTGAAGTGGGTTTTTAATTTTATTGTATTTGGTGATGAATATTATAAAAGGCCTGGAAGGTCACTGGCAGTCTTTAAGCAGCGTCTGGACAAACTCTTGCCAGGGATACTCTAGGCTGATCCTGCACTGAGCAGGGGGTTGGACTAGATGGGCCTGTATGGCCCCTTCCAACTCTGTGGTTTGGTGATTCTTCGACTGAAAGCCGCTTTTGATGTTCTTATCTGAAATGACAGCTCTCGTGCCGTACAACAAACTGCTTTTGAAATGGAAGGGTTTTTTAAAAGCAGTCTGTAGTATGGCTTGCAGATCAGTTTTTCAGAGAAACTAAACTGAAATCTATCGGGATGATGCAAACTCCCTGTCAGGGGCCTTAGAAGCATTTGGATCCTAGCTCCAATTTTCAAATTGCCACTGCTTTCAATTTTGATATTAGTTTATGCACAAATGTTAAATTAGTATTATTTCAGGTCAATACATGACTTTTCCCCAAAGTAAACAAAAAACAAACAGTATGCTGATATTATTTTTGACAAACTTGGCTTTCCCATTGGATAAAGACAGAACCATAAAATTGTTTTCCTTGTCCAGTGGAATAAAATATAAGAACATAAGAGCCTTGCTGGCTTAGACGAGTAGTCCATCTATTCGAGCATCCTGTCTCACACAGTGACCAACAAGTTTCTCTTGAGTTCTAACAACAGGGTATAGAGGTCTGATATTGCCTCCTGGCACTGGTATTTGGAGGTATACTGCCTCTGAATGTGGAAGCTCCCTTCAGTCACCATGGCTAATGGCCACGGATAGACCTATCCTCCAGGAATCTGTCTAATCCCCATTAAAGCTGTTTATTCCTGTGGCCATCACTTCATCCTCTGGCAGCAAATTCCATATTTTAATCACTCTCCGTGTAAAGAAGTACTTCCTTTTGTCTGTCCTGAATCTAGTACCCATCAGCTTCTGTAGATGCCCTTGAGTTCTAGTATTTTGGGAGAAGGAGAAAAATGTCTCTTTGTCAACTCTCTACTCCGTGCATAATTTTATAAATCTCTATCATGTCCCCTCTTAATCATCTCTTTTCTAGAATGAAAGGTCCCACTCCCAGACTCTTTAGTCTTTCCTCATTGGGTGATCCAACCCCATAATCATCTTGGTTTCCCTCTTCTGTACATTTTCCAACTCCGTGACATCCTTTAGGAGTTACTGATCAGAACTGCACACAGTACTCCAAATGAGGTGACACCATAGATCTATACAGGGGCATTATAAAACTTGGCCATCGTATTTTTCAATTCCTTTTCTAATATCCCCCAACATAGAGTTTGCCTTTTTTGCTGCAGCAGCACACTGGATTGACACTTCCATTAAGCTATCTACTACAGCCTCAATATTTTTTCCCTCTCAGCCTCAGCAAATTCAGACCTCATTAGTCTATAATTGAATTAGGGATTTTTTTGTTCCAATATGCATTGCCTTACACTTACCAACACTGAAGTTCATTTGCCACATTGTTTCCAGCTCACTCAATTTGTGAGATCCTCTTGGAGCTCTTCACTGTCATCACTGGTTTTCATTGTTCCACATAATTCTGTGTGTCATCTGCAAACCTGAGAGCCAGCTTGGTGTAGTGGTTAAGTGCGTGGACTCTAATCTGGGAGAACCGGATTTGATTCCCCACTCCTCCACTTGCACCTGGCTGGATGACCTTGGGCAAGCCATAGTTCTGATAAGAGCTGTCCTTGAAAAAGGGCAGTTTCTGTCAAGAGCTCTCTCAGCCCCACCTACCTCACAGGGTGTCTGTTGTGGGGAGGGGGAAAGGAGTTTGTAAGCCGCTCTGAGACACCTTTGGGTAGTGAAAGGTGGGGTATAAATCCATTCTCTTCTTCTTCTACAATGCTCACCCCTAGTTCCAGATCATTTATGAACAAATTAAATACTACTGCCCCGACTATTGATTCTTGTGGGACTCCACTGCTTACTCTCCTCCATTGTAAGACTATCCATTTATTCTTACTCTTTGCTTCCTCTCATTTAATCATTTTTTAAAATCCATAACCCATCCTCTTATTTCATGACTGCTAAGTTTACTCAGGAGCAGTGAGTTAGTGTGAGCTGGCTCACAGTTTTTTAGCCTCCAGCTCACACACTTTTATCTTCGCTCAGGAAGGATGGCGCTAGAGCAAACTAATTTATGCAGTAGCCAAATTGCTCACTCACAACTTTGATGCTAGTAGCTCACAAAGTAGAATTTTTGCTCACAAGACTCCACAGCTTAGAGGGAGCATTGCTCAGGAGTCTTTTGTGAGGTACCTTGTCAAAAGCCTTTTGAAAGTCCAAGTATAGAATGTTAACAGAGTCACCATTTTCTACATACTTGTTCACTTTCTCAGCTCTGAGAGGTTGGTGAGCCAGGACTTCCCTTTGGAGATTTCCCCTCAGCAGGTTTTGTTCCTCTATGTACCTTATAATTCTATATTTGATTACAGTTTCTACTGATTTGCCTGGGACAGATGTTAGGCTGACTGGCCTGCAATTTCCTGGTTCCCTTTTTAAAGAATTGGTGTAACATTTGCTAGTCTACACCGGCTGAAATTAGTGATGGGTTACATACATGGGTTAGTAGAGCAAGTATCTTCTGTGTAAGTTCCCTAAGAACTTTTGGGTGCATGCCATCAAGACCCGGAGACTTATAGGTTTTTTAATTTCCCCAAGAGGTCTAAAACTTCATCTCTGGTCACCTCAATTTGGCTCAGTTCTTCAGACTCCTTTCCTGAACTAGTGGTTGTGGCATGGGTACATGCCCCACACCTGCCACAGTGAACACAGAAGCAAATGGATGGATTTGTTGGATGAAACCGAAATTCAGAAGGCAGCAATTTAACTACGGCTCTTAAAATTGATTATTGGATATTAACTTATGCCAGCATAGAAATGAAGGATATACCTGGCTAATTCTCTCACAGCCCTGCATGTAGCACTGTTCACAAATTATTTTCACTGAATTAGAACAGAATGCCTTGATTTAAAGTATGCTGGCCAAAATAGTTTGGGTATGGAGCAGCGTAGTCCTTTTTAAGTAATAAGGAGCTTTCAAATTTTAATCCCTCTCAGCTTCTTGGCCCAACCCATCTCTTCTTATAAAAGCACACTTGCAGTTTGAGAATCATAGATCTAAGGCTTTTATTAGTGCTAAAATAACAACAACAAAAAATGCCTTTCAAAGGACCCAGCAGGTTGTTCCATTAAGATGGGTAATTACCCTTCTCTTAAACAATGTAGAAGGGGGGGGGGCAACATTGTAAATTCTTAATGTATAGCCTTGGCTTCAAAGTACCTTTTTTTTAGACCAAGAGTATGGTGCTACATGGAAAATTGATTCATGGAATCAATTTCTGTAAAACCTATTGATTAAACTGAAACTGCTGCATAATCAAGTCAGAAAGGAGTAGTTAACGAGCAGTAACAATTGTATGGTTGGATCCTCTAATATACAGTTATACTTTCCATGATTACTTTTAGTAAATTTCACCACCACCAAGCACTAGTTTACTTATGCCTTAGCCATTGCTGTTATTCCAATGAATGCTGTATTTTATTTGCATGTTTACTTGGATGTCACACTTATTGAAGTTAGGATTTACTTCTGAGTAAACAGGTTTATGATTGCCTTGCATGGAAGGCAAAGTGAAGGCATGAGAAATTGCGAAAGAAGACATAATGAGGTTCAGAAATTACTTTCCGACAGATGTCAATATTCTTCCTTACTGGCTCAATAGTTTATATAACACAGAGCAGGGACTGCTTCAAGATACCGGACTTCTGATCACTGGTTTCTTTCTTATACAATCCAACTCTTTTCCTGAATGAAATATGTTTGCACTAATGCATCACTTTGTTTGCATGAACACATGAAATGTATAGGGAGTGGCTATGGTTTGGTGGTAGAAAACAAGGATTGCATGTAGAAAATCCCATGTTCAGTTCCTGACATTTCCAGCTACAGGATCAGGTAGCATGTGATGGGAAAGATCTATTTGCCAGTTGGAACAACTAAAACTGAGCCTGATGGACGAGGAGTTTGAATCAGTATGAGGCAGCTCTAATTAATTCTCTAATTCTTAAGTATACTTTAATGCAGGCCCGTAGCTATAGCAGGGCTTTGGGGGCTCTGCCCCCTTTCTTAAAGGCACAGCCCCACAAGAATTTCTCCTGTAAATGGTTTTTGCAATCATTTTAAAACGTTTTTTAAAAGGCATGCCCTCCTTTAAGCAGAGTGGGGTGCTGTAGTTGACTAATTCCCACACTAAGCAAGGGGGCTGGAGTAGGTGACCTCTAGGATTCCTTTTAATTCTGTGTCAAGAAACTGGTCCCCTTTAAGGGAATTTTCTGCTTGACTATAGAAGTTATCACCCCCACCTGCCAACTTGTTATTAGAATTGTTGATTAGGCTGGGAGAAGTGA